TGGGCCAAAAAGACCAGGTGAAGCCAACAGGTTGGCAGTGGAGCCAACAGTGGACAAAAGAGGTAAGCAGGAGAGAAACACCCCCCCACTCTCCTACTCCTCCCCCCACGTGCTTTGGGGTGCAGCATGATTTGGTCACCATGTCTGATTGTCAGGAGGGTTTTGGATATTGTCTGAGAACTCGGTTTTTTTCAAGATCTTCTGTGAGATGAAAAGTAGCTATGTGAAGTGACCCTGGTAGGGCTTTTTCAAACCATGTCCCAAAGGGCCGTTGCTTCCAGCAGTCACAAGTGAAATTAAGACTTGGACTATAGGTGTGCATGCCATTATACCGTTTTTAAAATACTGGAACTTGTTGGGAATATTTCCAACTCAGTTTGCTTTGTCTTTTTCCTCATTACCTTACACTTCTATTTTCACATCTGCATTTGTTTCCACATGCAATTAAGGACCTCACTAGAAGGCATATGGTTTACCTGTCTCCAATTGGTTAAAAAGTATTTGCATTTTGTTGCTTAATATAACACAGATGAGACACAACACCAAAAGGAAGTAATTGACACAAATATATAAATTTCTAGCCCCAATATTGTTATCCTGGTGTTTATTTGTTAATAATTTAAAGTTTTTCCCTAACAGCCTTGCTATTATCCAAACCGGAAATCGTTTTTTAAACCATATACTTGATGTCATAAACTGTACCATGTAAACAGAATTTCATATTTTAAAAATGCTTTAAGTGTAGTTAGTCTGTGGTTTCAGGAATCTAAACGTCTTAAGTAACATCCAAGCTCCAAGCGTACCAGTCAGCACCTTGTTTTCAAGTCTGTGCATACTTGCACAGTTGCCCAGTGTGTTGGTGGATTTGCCAGATTGAAGGTGAGATGTTTGATGTGTCAGTGTCCCTCACTGTGTGGATTCCTAGAAGAAAACCATGGTCTTTATTCTTGCTTTCTCTGAACAGTGGATGGTGGCCAGGTTGTTTCTCCTTCTAACAGATGACGAAGAGTGGGAGGAGGTTGTTCCTTTAAAGAATTCTCCCTCCTGCCGTGAGCCTGGAGCACTCACAGGAACACAAAAGTATCAGCTCCTCCTAGGAGGACAGCCTGCTTCCGTGGCCGTGGGCTCTCCCTGCTCTCGTCCTCATGGTTCAGGGCAGCGGCCAGTCTTCGCTCATACTCTGCAGAAGCTGCTGTGAGAGTGCAGACAGCCTCCTTCCCTGTGCTCCTCCTTTGTGTGTCTGTCACCATTAGGCGCCTGATGCTTGACATGAGGTTGTGTCCTCAAGCCTGCGCTGAGCACCCAGCGCCTCTGTGTCCTTTGATATCTGGCTCTGTGGGGTGGCGGGCCAGGCCGGCTTGCCATGTCACTAAAGAGCCCCGCAGGTCCCTGTGGCCCTGAACCCTGGGCTTCTACACCCCTGCATGTCTCTGCCCTCCCGGCACCTGCCTGAACCTGCCATTGGCTCTGCGGGAGGGGAGCTGGTCAGGTGTTGCAAGAGTCCTCCTGCCACTTCTGCACTTCCATCAGCCACGAGGGAGCCTCGAGGCTCCTTGCAGAGGCAGTCACTTCTCACGCCATCTGTGCTTCTTGGGCCGGCAGACTCAAGCGCCAGCACACGAAGGGCATGCCTCTTAAATCAGCAAGACATTGACTGTGGTGCGTGCTCCCTTTTGTCAGTTCCCATAATGGAAGGGCCTGAGAAATACGCTCCTAGTGCTCGTGGGGGTGGGAGGAAGCATTGGTACAGCCGGTTCCAGCCATCCAGGGCTGCTCTGGTTTGTGAGATCTTTTGCTTTGCAGTTCTCTCTCTCTCTCTCTCTCTCTCTCTCTCTCTCTCTCTCTCTCTCTCTCTCTCTCTCTCTCTCTCGCTGCTGCTTTGAGGGTGAACAGAGCAAAGAAAGGTGTGCAAACGTATTTACTTTTACTCTTGTTTAAAAAGGTTAAAAGTCTGACCGACCATAGTGGCTCATGCTTATAATTCCAGCACTTCAGGAGGCCAAGGTGGGAGAATTGCTTGAACCCAAGAGTTTGAGACCAGCCTAGGCAGCATAGTTAAGACCTCATCTCTAAAAAAAAAAGCCAGGTATGATGGCATGTGCCTGTAGTCCCAGCTACTCGGGAGGCTGAGGCAGGAAGATCACTTGAGTCCAGGAGGTTGGGGTCGCAGTGAGCCATGATTGTGCCACTGCACTCAGCCTGGGAGACAGAGTGAAACCCCACCTCAAAAATACAAATGGATATAAATATAAGTCTGATAGGAAGTTTGGAGAAATTGGAGACTGAAAGCCCAAATTAGATAGAGGATTATCTGTGGGTTCTATTTCTCACTGTCATATAAGCAGAGACATTCAGCAGTGTGTGTGGACCTTCCTGTTCTTGCTCAGGAAGATACTTATTGTCAACAGAATGAAAGAGAATTTCCGTGTTAGTTTTTCTGCAAAAAGATTTTTCTTTCAGACAGAAGACACTGTCACCTTATTAGTATGTTCAAGTGGAAAGAGCCAGGACATGGATCAGATTGGCTTGGTTTCAAATCCCAGCTCTTCCCTCTCTCGCTGTGTGACATGAGACAAGTTACTGCTCAGAGGCTCATTTTTTGTATCTATCAGGTGCAGATAATGATAATTGTCAGAGTTGTTCAAAGGATTATGCTTATGAATGAGTAGCCCAAGACCCCGCTCACGGCAGGTCCCTTCTGAAAGGACACTGGTATAGAGACCACTTTCTTGGGGTCGCATGGGCCAGGTTATCTGACCTCTTGGCAGCCCTGTGTTGTCACCTGTAATTTGGGGATAATGGTGACCTCGGTAGTAGCATTTCCCCCCAGGGATTGTTGGGGTAAGTGGGTGAATGCATAGAACACAACGATTCGGCATATAACAAGTACCGTACGAGCTCCAGCTTCTGCTGTTCTTTCCCCTTTTCATTTTTCTGGAAAGTCTGTGCTGAAGACAGCTCAGTCAGTTGATTCTGGGGGAAGACGAGGTTTTACCTGTGACTGAGATTCACCATCTCTTCGTGTATTTATTTACTCTTTGCACTAATGGATACTGAGTGGCCTTACTGTGGCAGACACTGCCGGTCACCGGATGCCGGGTGGGTAGTGACACGAAGCCAGGAACGGGGTTAGGGACAGTGCCAGACGAGCCGACCGTGGAGGGGATGAATGATGAACAGTGCTCTAGGACCCAGAGGCGGGATCCAGGGGCTGAGATCAACAAATGGCGGGATAGTACTGACACCCCGCCCCCCCACAGCTCTGAACCCGCTAAGAGCAGGCCTGGAGCAGGGCCCGGGCTAGCGTGAGCCCTGAGCCCCACCACACTAAACACCGCAGGGGCACAGGGCAGGCCTCACATTCATGTCCCACAGCATCTGCCAAGGCCCGACACAGGGGCCAGGAGTGCTGCCTTGAGTCGACTTGAGGTGACATCACAGACTCCACACCTGAGTGTTCCCTTCCCTGTCAGCCGGTCCGAGCCGTTGTGCTGAGCACAGCACTGCCATAAAGTAGCCACCTAGTTTGTGTTTGTTGGTTGGCTAATTGAATTCAGTGGATGATCTCCAGTTACACACACACACACACACACACACACCTCATTTTTTTTTTTCTAGCTAAAAAATTCAACAAATAAAATACATTGTCAGGCTGTGTCTTTGTCTTTCCACAGCTCCTGAAGTCCTTGCCCAGAAACCATACAGCAAAGCCGTCGACTGCTGGTCCATCGGGGTGATCGCCTATATCTTGTAAGTGTCGCTTCTTGACTTTGTCCTCTCCCCCTGTTGTTTTTTTTTTTGGTTTTTTTTTTTTTTTTAGTTGGAGTCTCACTCTGTCTCCCAGACTAGAGTGCAGTGGCCGCTCCCAGCTACCGCAGTCTCGACCTGCTGGGCTCCGGCGATCCTTCTGCCTCAGCCTTCCAAGCAGCTGGAACTACAGGCGTGCTACCACGCCCGGCTAATTTTTTATTTATTATAGAGACAAGGTCTCGCCAAGTTGCCCAGGCGAGTCTCGAACCCGTGGGCTCAGGCAATTCACTCACCTTGGCCTCCCAAAGCGCCGGGATTACAGGCCGAGCCACCGACCCTGGCCTGTTTTTTAACTGTGGCAAAATATGCATAGCATAAAATTGACCGTTTCAGCCATAGTACCTAAGGATGGTGAGCAATTCAGTAGCCTTCACAAGGATGCTTGGACAGTGTTGCACAACCATCACCACTATCTGTTTTCAGAACTTTTCATCATCCCAAACTGAACTTCTGCACCCATCAAACAAGAACTCTCTGTAGCCCCTCCCCCAGCCCCTGGTAGCATCTGTTGTACTTCCTGTCACTATGAATCTGAATACTCCAGGGACCTCATGAAAGTGGAGCCACACAGTGTTTGTCTTTTTGTGTAGGGCTTTTTTCATGTAACACAGTGTCTTCAAGATTCATCCAAGGTGCCGCATGTGTGAGAATTTCCGTCCTTTTTAAAGCTGAATAATACACCTTTGCTTATCCCCTTGTCTGTCAATAGACATCTGTGTTGTTTCCACTTTTTGGTGTTGTGAATAATGCTGCTGTGAACACAGGTTTGCAAATACCTATTTGAATCCCTGCTCTGAATTCTTTAGGGTATATACCTAGAAGTGGAATTGCCGACTCATATGGTAACTCTATGTTAATTTCTGAGTAGCCAGCATACAGCTTTCTCCAGCAGCAGAACTATTTTGCATCACTGATGCAAGTACCAGGAGCCCCTGGTCTCCACATCCACACCAGCTCTTGTTACTTGCCAGGTTTTATAATAGCCATCCTAATGGGTGTGAAGTGATAGCCCGTTGTGCATTTTCTAATACCTAATGATGGTATCTTTTCTTTCTTTTTTTTTTTTAAGCCAGTCAAATGTAACAGTAGAGGGTGTATACCAACTTTAGTGACACTAATGTTAATAAGTTCTGATAACCCACGACCATCAGACCAGCAAGAATATCTTTTCATGTTCCCCCTTGGCTTTTGGGGGGCTACAGACCACTATGGAAATACGAGTTTGTCTCCAGAAGAAACCATAATTAGAAAAAAATGTAGTGAAAATCCAAACTTCGCCTTTGAGTTCTCCAATTTCTTTTCAGATACCAAATCTCCATAACCCAGAAAGTAAAGTTCTAGGCCATAGGCTTGTGGCAACTATATCAGATCATCGATTTTGTTTCTTATTTGTTTTGCCTAAGTCGACTGTAAGGTTATTTTTCAATTACAGTTTATTTTTGCAGTTATACTTCCAAATGCTTATTATGGAACACACTTACAGAGTGGGTTGAGGCCAACTAGTTTCTGTAATTGCTAGGAAATGAATTTCCCTCCTCATCATCCCTGAGGAAGGGAACATTCTCTAGCAGACAGAGCCCCCTGCACATGATGGCAGACCGCAGGTGCTTGTGACTGGAGGAAGTTATGACAGTCTGTGGCATCCTGTCCTCCAGGAGTGCTGGATACATCTCCCCTGTACCAGCTTTGCCTCATTATCTGGGAAGAACAGTCTTTCTACAGCACACATTCAGCTGGGCAGCCTTTGTAGTTTAGTGTGGACTTAGGTGACAGCTCCAGTAGGTGCTTGCTATCATCACAGGAGAATTTTATCCATTATCATATACTTGGCTTGTGGCACTCTCTTTTATGGAACTGGGTAGAGGGCAGATTCATCTGAGCTCTAAAGCGAGGACATCACACTGCTTTAGCGCGGTCACTTTCAAAACATGCTGACCGGCTTCTGCAGTAGTTTTATTCTTTTGTGGGGGAGGAGGGTTACAGACCCTTTGGAGAATCTACTGAAAGTTGTGGACCCTCTTCCCAATAAAATAACACACACACACACACACACACACACACACACACACACACACACACACACAATTTGCATACCATTTGTCAGGAGGTTTCTGTGTAAGCCAGCACTGAACATAGGCCCTGTGTTACCCACCCAGTTAAAATTCTTAGCAGAGGTCCCGCCTTGCCCACCTTGACTATGGAAGGCCGAGTTAATAAATGGTAGGCCAGTCCCCTGCCTGTCAGGGACTGAAACTGGTGTCAGCTGACTAGAGAAACCTTTAGCTGGAGCTGGAAAAAATTACCCTTTTCCTGGCTGTGTGGTTGTTAATTTTTTTATGTCTGTACTGAACCTAGAACTGCTACTCTGGTCTGCACTAATGTCCATAGGTTCCCTTTGAACTTGTATATAAGGCAGGACCCAGAAAAACTGGAATTTTTTTTTTTTTGGAGGGCAAGCCCTTTGTAGCACAAGCTTCCCCTGTTAGGCAAGTGTTCTAGGAACCCATTGGCATCAGTGTACCAGCCAGCATTGTGAAAGACTGTGTTTGGCTTTGGTGAATTTTTTTTGGAGGGGTAGGGATGGTTCTTTCAACACATTTGTCCATTTCTTGATGGGTGATTTACATGAACAAATCGCCCACACCAAGCTGAGTACTCAGCAGTTTTTTTGACCGAAAAACAGCATGACCAACGTACCCCAGCCTCCCTATTCACCTGATCGCACCCCAAGTGACTTTTTTTTGTTTCCCTGGATGAAAAAAGTCCTCAGAGGGAAACGTTTTGCCTATGTAGAATAAGTTAAAAAGCAGCAGCAGCACTAAAATACATCAAAATTGGTAAGTTCAAAAACTGTTTTGGGCAGTGGAAAAAGTGTTTCAATAGGTATATTACATCAATTGGAGAGTACTTTGAAGGTGACTGAAGTTTAAACACTTACGAATAAATACACAGTTTTTAATAACTAAATTCAGTTTTTTTGGTCTTCCCTTTGTATAATTATTTCCTTGGAGTACTGGCCTTGGGGAAGATGTTGGTACAGCTATGAGGAGGTACATGTTGACACATGTTTCTTAGAATTATTGGGATCAGCAATTTAAAACTAAGCAGTGATGTCTTAGCTCAGATGCTATAACAAAATTCCACAGAGTAGGTGGTTTAAACAACAGATATTTTTTCTCATAGTTGGCGAGGCTTTCGGAAGTCCATGGTCAAGGTGCTGACCAATTCGGGTCCTGGTGAGGGCTCTTTTCCGGGCTTATGGATGGCCACCTTCTTGCCGTGTCCTCTTGTGGTGCAGAGAGAGCACACAAGATCCAGCATGCTGGTGTTTCCTTTAATCTAGTCACTGACAAAGAAAACCAGATCATTATGGTTGACCAAATGAAGCAGGTGACGGGGAAAGTGGAGGAGGGAAAAGCCCTAGTGAAACAATTCAGTGAGTGAAGAAGAAGGCAGGAAATAGATCAGAAGTAGGCGACCAACCATGTCTGCTGTGGCCCGTAGGTAGGAGAACGTTGGGAAGAAGGCCAGTGTGGTTAGGGTAGCATCCAAGACCAGTGTCAAAACAAAACACTCGAGGAGCAACCAAGTGCCAGAGCAAAGAGAAACCTAGAAAGTCTGGGTTTTAACCCAAGGGTAGTGAGAAGCCAAAGAAGGGTTTTGGACAGAGGTGTGACCCAATCTTATTTCCATTAGGGGATTATCCTGGCTACTCTGTGGAGAAGATATTGGACAGCAAGTGTGGACGGTAGAGACTGGTTGGGAGGCTCACTTGAGGAAGTGAGAGAGTTGCTCCTGGGGAGGCAGCAATGGTGCAGAGGCCCGAGATGGGTTTTGGATGTGGGGGATGAAGGAGAGGGATGTGTCAAGTATAAGCCCAAGCTCTTGGTTTCAACAACTGTGTAGGTGGTAAGAAAAAAGAGAAGAGAGCAGTGGAGGAACAAGTCCAAGGAGGTGGGTGAGATCAAGAATGTAGTTTTGGACACACTAAGCCTGAGACCCTGTGAGATATCCCCTGCATGACGTGTGCACCTGTGGAGCTCAAGAGAGGTCTGAGATGGAGATAGTGGCACATACGTCTGGGTTTGACTTGACAAATGGTGCAAGCAAACCCTTATAATTTCAGCATATAGTGCAACGTGTGCCAAGGTTCAAGGGTAGTATTAAGCAAAGGCATGCCATGTTTTTTGACTTCTGTTTTGAGTATAAGCTTGACAAGCTCACTCTTAATGGTTTCCTGGCCACCATTAGCTTTGCCCCAGAGGCCAGTCTCAGGTTGGTTTCGTGACTGTGTCAGACTTCAAAATGGCAGCCTGGGCTTCTGTTTACCCTCGTGCCTTTCGGAGATCTGAGAGCACCATGCAGAGAATGAATGGACCTTTGGACATCTCAGTTGTATCCTGTAAGATGACCAGACCCCCATGGGTGATAAGCCAGATCCTGGGTGTAACTGAGTACAGAACACGACTGTGCTTGGAGAACCACCAGCCTCGAACCTACTACCATTGGCAGATTAATCTACTTAGGAATCCATCTTGTCTCGCCATGTGGATTGTTAGTACTCTAACAATGACAAGCATCGCATCTTTGTCATCTCTATGTCCTTAGCACCTGGCACAGTGCCTGGAGTAAAGAAGGTTCTGGAGAAATGCTAGTTGTTGACGCAGAGGGTGATAAACTCGAGGCTGGTGGTCTGGAGCCTTGTGCACAGCTGCAGGAGTTCACAAAATGAAGCCGTCACTGAGGACAGGGCATTAAGGAGGGAGGAGACACTACTCAGGGTATGTCCAGAAGGTCAGATAAGCAGAGATGAGAGCATGGAACAGGGGAGGGAGGAGAGCACAGGAGCAGGGCACAGTGGCCTGGTTGGGGGGTGGTCATGATCGTCCTGTGCCTGGGTTGGTGTTGATGGCACAGGTTGACACTGGACTGAACCAGCG